TCTTCCATGGCACCCTGGAGCACAGCCTTGCCAGCCGTGCTCCTGTCCCCCAGCTGAGACCCTCTGGCACAGCAAGGAGGAAGAAGCTGTGGTGGTCAGCTCTCTCCATTTTTCACCTGGAAGGAGGAGACTGTGCATGGAGGTTGACAGTATCAATGAACATGGAAAATGTGGATATCCACATCTGAGATAGGCACCTAGACACAACCGGCAATCAGGGTGGAAGGAACAGAAAATGTCACATCAGTTTTCCCGTCCTTGTAGGACATCCCATCCTTAATGTCTGGAATAGCTCAGAAGAATTGTTCTGTGTAAGTATTTATTTTTCTCTGCTTAAATGACTAGCAGCATTGCAGGGGTCTACACTGCAGCTACCTTAGGGTAAAGGAGGTGAATCCCAGCATTAATTTCTATTCTTCAGTCTCTGAAAGTCCTGTAGGGCACCAAGCAATCTGCCCTCTGTAGAGGTTGTACTACTCTTGATAATGCTGCCTGCTTTGGGAATGCTCACTCCACTGTTTTGCCATGAAACAGGACTCCAAATACAAATTCCTAAGCAAATCAGAAGGATTTAAATTCCTCTGTCCCTGAAAACCACTCCTGGTTTGACTTAGATTTGGACCTGATGTGAAAGGCCACCTTCTCTTGTCTGTTTCTTGATTATTAAACATGCTTCTGGGGACATTTTGGCAGCACCTCAGTAAAACTGAAATCTAGACTCATTGCCAGATCATGCAAGAATAACTTGTACGGAGAAAAGCCTCTTGCTGGAAGGCTGTAATTGTATAAGAAAAGTTTGTGAGATTTGGGGACCTAGAAAACTGATCCTCACAACTGATCACCCTCTGATGGTTCTTGATCAAACTTTTACCCACCTCTGAGCCCTTATTTAGATTCTTCAGTCTGGATCTGCTCATGGGATTTGAGATCTCCGATTCTTTTTATTTTTATTCTTTTTAGTGACAGTCCTAGTCTTCCATCAGCTGAACTCCCAGATAAATGGGCATTTCTCCACTTTGAAAAGTGACCCTATAGTAGTTCCAGCCTATCTTAAATTGATATTGCGGTTACATGTTACCTTAGACACTCTACAGGTATGGATGAAGACAGGGTCTTTTATTCTACTCATGTCCCTGTCCTACAGACCATCAGAGTTGCTTCATGAACAACGTAATGTAAGTCTCACTGAGGTTAATGGAAAGACTCCCATTGTTTTCACTGGGCTTTGTTTCGTGGGCCAGAGTATGCTTTGTCATCAGTTGGCCTTGCTGCCTTAACTGGTGTAACAGGAAGATTTTATTCCTTTTTTTTTTGTCAATAAACCCACTGAAGAAAGCATTTTATGCTTTGAGCCAAAATTACTGTCTTGCCTGCAGTGGCATTGAATTATGACTCTGGATTTGATGATTGCATTCATGCTGCCTTTGGCACGTTCATCTTGACAAAGTTCATTTTTGTCTGTAGGTGCCAGATGGATCTGTGGTAGCTTTAGTCTCCAAGCAAGTCACTGCCTACAATGCAGTCAACAACTCCACGGTCTCCCGGACCTCAGCCAGCAAATATGGTAAGGACCTGTGTGCTGATATGGGTTGAGAGAGCAATGGAGGAGAGATCTCATACATTGCGCTGGTTACAAAACATTGAGCACGAGAAAAGAGAATGGTAGCCAGATGACTAGCTAATATGAATGCTTGGGGGGGCATTGGAGGAGGAGAGGAACTTTGGCATCCAATCCAAGCTATTGATTCAAGTATCCAGATTGCTCTTGGGAAGCACCCCTCCTCCCTCTTGGGAGGGGTGGGGAGAGGAGCTAAACAATTAGCTGCCTATATTTTACAACACGATATGACATGACTATATCCCATAGCCACATGGGATGAATCTCGCTCTTAGAGTCTGCACAGGGAGACACAACAAGGGAGTGCACGGCACAGTGGAAAATCAAAGTCATTCTGCTTGGCAAAGACCTTGGAGGGTGGTCTATGATTAAGACAAATGTATGGCACAGATAAGAGGGCTCTAAGACTAAAAGCCACCACAGCCTACACAGGGTACTGTCTGTCTGGAACTATGCCTTACAATGTGAATATTGTGTGTCTCACCCAGCTATCTTATTATCCCCAGGGAATTTGCACCTGGAATAACTAACTAAATAAATAAACAAACAAATAAATAGCTTACAGAGGTCTTGTATCAGCATATCTCAAAGCAGTGCCCTATTTTTCCCATTTTACCCATGAGACAACTGAGACTGAGACAGCTGTGAAGCAGAAACCGGGTGGAAATTCTTTTGCAGAACCAGGCACAGATCTCCTGAGTCTCACTTACACCATCACACACCTTTCTCCCTTGCGGTAGAGTCACAGGCCATGACATGTCTCACTAGGGCAATGTGGGAGGGCAAAGGAAGAAGTAAGTCTGTAATCTGCAGCCAGAGAGTGCTGCAAAAGCACCCTCCATCCCAGGTCCAGCTGTCATATCTATTTATCATTTTTATTTTTTTTTAATGTATGACTGCATCTCTTCTCCTTCCCATTCCCTTTGGCTTGAGGGAAAGTACAGTCACTCGGTGTCTGGAGGAGCCACCTTCCTCTTTCTACAAGGACATGAGCAGTCCACTAAACCTTATTAATATTCATCCTCTTTGCCGTGTTGTTGCAATTAGTGAGAGACACAGTGACCTTTGAAAAGGAAGACTTGAGGGGGGGGTTAATTTCTGTTGGATTTCTTAAATTTTTTTGTCATTTGATTTTTCAGGAGGAGGGCGTGGGGAAGAATGCAAGGGGAGGAGAAGATGTGGTGGGTCAGAAGTGATTGCTAATTGCAATTAAGGGAAGAGCATCCACAGAGAAAAAGGATATTCCATCTGATAATTAATATGTAGATATTAGTAATGCACTAATGAGGCCGATTCAGACCTTGCTACAGAAAGGTGCAACACTCCTATGTTAATTACGGTTGGAAAAGACTCAATCTAGAGCATTACTGGCAGTTCAGAGAGAAATGAATGCCTCATGCCATCACTCGGAGGCAGAGGGAAATGAAAACTGTGGTATAAAGGCGTCCTTGAAGACAAAATTTGTGTGGGTCCATCTGAGGATCTGGTCTCCTTTCTATCAAGGGCTTAGCAAAAGTAAGGCTTTGGGGCAGGGAGTGAAGAGGATGGTTGGATGGGACGTGTTGGATTGCTCTGAGGCAAGAGCAGGGAGGAGAGGCAGCTCCTCCTAAGCCTGGGGATAGGGAGGTAAGCAAGCCATCATGCTAGCTACATCAGCGTTACTACATAAAAGGGCCCATGGCCCATTCTCTGACCATGAGACTGAGCTTGATGGATTAGTATGGCTCACACCTCTATGGCTTAAGACTAAGAAGATGGTCTTGACCGTAATGGCTACCATGAACTGTTAATACTATCCCCTCAACCACCCCTCGACAATGTCTGACAGTGAAAGAGCTAGTTGTCTCAAGCCAAAGCTCTGCCAGGGAACATGATAACAGTTAAATAGCATGGGCAATTGAAAGTCAGTGTTTGGGCCTTGTGTAATTTACCAGTATAGACATAATCATCATGTCCTGCTTGGCTGACCTCCCTTGTGTTTGCTGTGCAAATCGTTCAGTCAACAAATAATGCTTTGATAGTAAGGTCCGTTCCATAAAGCTGCTTTGAGGGCTTCTCTGGCTCACACGGTAATTCTGCCCTGGAGATATACCTGCATTGCCCAATGTAACAAATTGCAGGCACTCACACACACAAACAGACACACACACCAAGATGATGGAGTTTTACTTAATGCTAATATGGAAATACAGAGCTTGCGAGAGTAGGGACACTGCAGCACTGCCACAACCCTCCTACTTTGGAAACCCAAGCTAACATCTCTCCAGGGGGCATGCTGTGTGGCCATGATAGCTGGGTGCGTGGGCACACTGCAGGGATGTCCAAGGACTCAGATCTAGCTCTGCTTGTCTGAGCACTATACCAGAATTTGTGTGTACATCCAGTACATACACCAAATGGGAGAGGTTCCTGCAACCAGCACTGAACCCAGATGAAGGAAAGGGCTCTTCTTGCCTGTCTGATGAAAAACTTCCATTAGGAAAAGTGTTATTAGCATATTTCTGTGGTGAAACACATTGATCACAATACGAGCGCTAATAAGGCTGAGATACATGCATCTGTCTTTGCAGAAAACATGATCCGTTATACAGGCAGCCCAGACAGCCTCCGTTCTCGCACACCCATGATCACCCCCGACCTTGAGAGCGGAGTCAAGATGTGGCACCTGGTGAAGAACCATGAGCATGGAGACCAAAAAGAGGGTGACCGAGGCAGCAAGATGGTTTCTGAGATCTACCTGACAAGGCTCCTTGCCACCAAGGTATATGGCATGGTGGTGGGGGTGGGGGGACAAAAATGTGCTTTTAAAGGCTAAAGTGGGACATCTTGCACACAAGAAATGAGAGACTGCTCAAAGGATGCCAACGGGGGATTAAAAAAAGAAGAGCAGAAGGAAAATGGAACAAGATAAGTGCTCCAAGTAAACACAGTCAGGAAAGGGATTTGTGACAACGAAATGGTAACAAGAGTCAAATGGCAAATTTAAGAGCAGTGCATTGGGTAGGTCTGGAGAGAGGAGGATCACAAAGTGGGGATGCTAGGAGCAAAGGGAGCAATTTGTTAAAAACGGACTCTAAATGAGTGAGGAAAGGGTGATAGTAACAAAGTAGAAGCCAAGGGCTTAAGAAGGAGTTGGGATTTGGAGAGCAATGAAGAGTGATTAATGCAGGGCCATGAGTCTGGTGGAGAGAGTCTGCACAGGGGTAGGTGTGTGCTGGGCTTGTAGATTATACAGGATTGTAGTTTGTCCCAGATGGAGCAAATAAGGAGCCAGGACGTGAACATGCCCTGGTCAGACTCCGAGAATGCATCATATCACACCTTGTAATCTGAAATGGGATCCCATGCCACAAAACCCTGTGTAGGTACGGGTCCTTGTTCTCCACCTTGTCGCTGGGCCCATAAAGATTTAGTTCTCCTAATGGAGTCTCATGTTCATAACTTGTCAGGGAGTCAAGTTAGCCATGGTGTGGCTAATAGATGACCGGCTCCAGGAAGGGCAAATGGAGTTAGACATGCATCCACATGCAGACATGGAGAGCTCAGGGACTCCTAAGGGAAAACATGGGCCAAATCAGGCAGGAGCAGAGCAGGGACATCCCAAACTGAATCACCAGAAACATCTCACACATCTCAGCTGGCCCATGGCAGGTCTCTACAGAGACAGCAGGGACTGCCTGCCCCACGAAGTCTTGCACCTGGGGTGTTCTTTGCAGACCCAAATTCCTCTATTTGTTGCAATTTCTGGCTGGTTATGCTTTTCCAAAGCAACAATTCCTGGGTACTGGCAAATTGGTAAGCTCCTATGTAGTCAATCCATAGTCCCCAAAATGCTGGAAATCAGCTTTCTATATGCGGAGAGTACTCAGGCTAACAGGTCTATAACTTACTGCAGTGGACTTCTGACCTGTGAAAGCCACAAAAAGTGACTCAACTCTCCCACTATCTGCACAGCTACAGCTCACTGCCACTCAACATCACTCTGTTTTTTACCCGGGATGGGAGTGGCTGGCTTTCACAGCAGGTGGCTAGCTCGGGGCAGGGGGGGGGAGGGGGGAGGGTTGACAAAGGACCTTAGGCCTTTCAACTTCTTTCATCTCTGATCAACGCTGTCCTCCACGTAGCTTACCTCTGAAGTCTCTACAATAACGTGAGCAAAACCAGTTGTCTGAGCTTACATTTGCTTTTGCACCCTGTTGATCCCTTCTTGGTGGTGGTCTCCATGCAGAGACTTATATTAATGAAGAGGCTGCAACGCTTTTCTTTTGCACCCCAGCAGGGACCAAGCCAGACAGAGAGGCAGGCAGTAAGATCAGAGGCAGGCTCCATTCGCAATTGGCAATTCTGCGCAGAGCTTCTCTGTCTATGCATCTCTCTAACACATAAGTTAACTTGGTGCATCCCAGAAGTGTAACTGCAGGGCAGCTGTGGCTCAGGTGTGGCTAATTATGATGTTATCTCACCTCATTCCGAGCGGGGTTAAACAAAGCAGCGATCAAAAAGCCCAATCTTCCTTCCCTCGATGAAGTTTTGACGATTATCGTTTCCTATCAGGATGTCAACAAACACGAACGCAATTACATGTATTCGTGCAAACACCCTCTGAGTTCACTCATCAGACAGGCCTCCATCATGTATTTAAGTCCTACTGCGCAGTTTTATCTACGCGTTGGCTCCTCAACTCGTTTCACCGCTGGTGCCTAGCTCCACCCGCTGAACACAAACATTGGCTCGCTCTGGCTGCCTCTGCTGCAATGGGATCCAGATTTGAAACAACTCTGTCTTTAGCCTTTGGAATATGCCCAACGCCATGACCTCAAGATGATTTATGGGTCACACAACATCAAAAGAAAATGATGCTCCTCAGGGACCAGGTCCAGCTGGTGTAAACCAGCTATTATTGGACCGGTGCCGATTTATACTGTCTAGGGATACATCCCCTACTCCACCACTGAATCACTTTTACTTTCTGTTCCAGGTCATGAACTGAACTCTTGCTTTTTGTGAACACAGTAAGGAAGGAGCTGTGAAGCTTACACAGCAACACAGAGAATGGAAAGGGTGGGAGTTTACTATTTCCCTTCTAGGACTGAGAAATTTTATTTCCCGATCATACTCATTTCAGGGAGAGAAGGAGGAGAGATACCAGTTGCTGGTAATACAATCCCAGGGAATACTTAGATAAAATGACAGTGATTTTTATTCTGGTAAATCCCTGACCTCTGAGACCTAGAATCTCTTGTCTAAAAGCCTCTGAGGTTTTCTTTGTATTTGTGTGGGTGAACATATGGAGAACTAATTCTCTCCAGGAACTGAATCTGAGGGCAGCTCTTCCATGTCAGACCAACAAGATTTCTTCTCAGGAGCCCTTTCTGAGTCAGATATGTGCTGCAGGGTTTTGTTCACCCTGTAGGAGTTCACACAAGCAAATGGTACCTCTGTTTGTTTCCCAAAGAATAAATCCAATGGTGAATCAGCAAGAGACGCCAGCCTTCTAATTAAGCATTTGTTAGTGCTATGTAAACTTGAGCCACTCTGGTGGAACCCAGCGCTTCATTTCTAGTAAGAACAATTTGTTTCCTGGGTCTGCAGAGAAAGGGGAGGATTTTGTTTTTCAGCTGAGGAAATTTTTCTATCGCGAAACACTTGTTGATTGCTCTGTTTTTTTTAATAGCTATGTTGTTTATTCACGTATAAATGTCTATGCCGTTCCGGTGGCAGAGCTGAGCTCCTAATGTGGGCTGGAGCTCCCAGTTTGACAGGGGAAGTGTTCCTTGCTTGGTTACCCCTGTTACCAGCCTGCAGCTCATCTTGCTATCACAGCTGCTTGACCGCCCCTTTCTCCAGATCTAGTCACCCTCTGCTATTCCAGTCCTTGGACCTTCTCACTGAAGGTCAGCTGTCGTCCAGTTGGTCCAAGGTGTTTCTCCAAGCACAAGGTCGGAGATTCTTCTCCCAGAGGAACATAACATAAGGAGACCTTTGCAATCTCTGCAGGGGACACGACTGAGGTCTGCAGAGCATTGCTTTCATGCATTGCTTCTAGGGCTTCTCTCAGGCCCATTGCAGTGGGTAATAAAAAATTAGAAGGCCTCTTAATTTTTAAGATAAAGATGAAGTTCTTGTTACATATTTAACTATTCACTCATATAGAACAGTCATCTCTCTCCAGGGTCTCTTGTCCCTTTCCTCCTTGTGACACCTGCTGCATTGCTCTGCAGTGATCTGGATCTACACCCAGCTTAAGAACTGGCTTTGGATAAAAGCCAGCATGGAAACTGGCTTTCATATATACACTAGATTAGTTGTGGATAATGTGCATAGTAGAGGAATCTCAGTGGGAACAGATCAAGGCCTTCCCATCACTGTATACTTGCAGCGGGGCAAGCTTTCCTGCCGCAGATCAGCCACCCAGCCTGGCAGGGAGTGCCAATAACAGAGAGGTGGACAGGTAGCAACCTTGGCCTACCCCATTTTGGCAGCTATCCAGCTGCAATGGACATTGTGAAAGGGTGCACATCTGCTCAGAGACAGTGGGGTTGAAATTTCCAGCTCGTGTCACATTTAGCAGATATTAGATGACTCTTGCTTTTCAATCACACTTCCTGAGCTTGAGTCTCAGACACACTCCATTTGCCGTGGAGCACCGAAATGTGACGTCCTGTTCCCACTAGGTATGTCATACTCTTCTGTCCTTCCTTCTCCTGACAGGGCACTCTGCAGAAGTTTGTAGATGACCTCTTTGAAACCATCTTCAGCACTGCTCACCGTGGCAGTGCCCTCCCCCTGGCTATCAAATACATGTTCGACTTCCTGGATGAGCAGGCTGACAAGCACAACATCCATGACCCTCACGTGCGGCACACCTGGAAGAGCAACTGGTGAGTGAGGCACCTACAATACAGCCTGGCACCAGGTCCTAGACCAGGGGATTCCTCCCCAGAAGGGGAAGAAATGGACACGTATTATAGTTTTGGGTGCTGGAGGGAGCTGAGGAGCCTGGTACAGAGCACTGGTCTCCATCTTCCTGAGCTGACAGAGGAAGTCTAAGAGTTCACAGGAGACCCTGAAGGGTGGAGTACTTTGGATCCAGCTCTCACTTTGCCCTGTGTAAAATAGGGATGGTGATATTTCTCAGGGATCTCGTGAGGATGCAGAAGGAAAGGCTGAGAAGTTTCTAAGCGCTATAGGACCCCGGCCCGTAGGAATATCTGGGAAGGCATCTGGGAGAGACAATTCAGTGCCACTCTCTTCCTCCAAAATGGCTGTTTAAGCTCCCAGTATAGTCAATGGGGACCTAGGGCTCCTTTTGATTGCCCACCCGTAGGCATCTGGTGCCACTGGAGAGGTTTTACGGTGTCCCAGACATCCACAGAGGCTGTGCAGGACTCACACAACACTTGTAGCCTCCCGAGGTGGCTGTTGGAGGCCAGAAGAGATACCTTGGAGCATCTGAAATTGCACTAAGCACTTATAGGGTATGCAGCTGGCTGTGAGTCCCCTTCAGAGTGAGTGACAAAGGCTGACATCAGCCCCCTGCTCTTGCTGCCAGGCAGCAGCCCCTCTTCACGCATGTAATGGGACAGAGGCAAAAAGCCACGACCAGCGGAGAGAAAAGATCTCTGCAGCTCCTCTGCTGAGTCTCCCTGTTGGAAAGAGTCCCCTGGGGAATCACTCCCTCCCCTTTTCCTGTGCAAATACAGGGACTATAAAAGGAACAGCAGAGGAGAGCCATGGGGCTCCCAGCTCGTGCATTTTTTTCCTTTTACCAGCCATGCTGATGGCAGATCGTCACAGCGCAGTGACATAAAAAAAGAAACCCCATGCACCAAAGAGGCTTTCAACTAATGAAACATTAGCATATTATTAACATTATCTGCGGCACTAATCTAAGGCTGATTGCAGCCACTCAGACTAAATGAGCAGGAGGTTTATTTAAGAGGGGAAGGAGAAGAAAGCATGTGTGTGTGTGTGTGTGTGTGTGTGTATGTATGTGTATGGGAGAAGGGGCAGTATGAAGAAATCTGTTCAGTCAGATTAAATTAACTCCAAGCCACATCACGGGCTTCATTATTCCCAGCTAGGGTCATCATCTTCCTGCCCCTCCCGACACACGCTCATGCACACATGCATGCACTCTGTGCTCCTCACTGTGGCTGTTTATCATCCTAACAACTGCAGATGGAAGATGCTTTGCATGGTTCAGTCATCCAGCACTTCCCTCTGACAGACGAACCTCCCATTCCCAGCCCAAAATGCTTCTCTCTCACAATTCTATGAGGTCTCATTGCTGGCATCTCCTGTGCCTGAATTTCTGCCCCTTCCCTGAGGGAGCTGACTCAGCTGATAGGATTACTTTTGGGAGGCTTTCCTCACATTTGGTCTATGGTTTTTCTGGCTCAGGAGAAGACATAATGGTTTAGGAGAACATGGTGTCATCCCTCTGTGAGGACATGCTAAACTGCCTGCTGTTACCTGGAAGACATCAGACTTGGAGATGAATTGTTTATGACGTTGTGAACATATGAGGGTAACAAGAGTAAGCGAGAAGGACTTAGTGACACATCTCAGCTCTCCTAGACCACAGTCACATGAATGCATTTGCCCTGACACAAAAAAGCTTGAGGCAAAGGCTGGAGGTAGATGCCTCAGGACATCACATAAATCAACAGCTCTTTTGAGAACAAAGAAAAAGAAGTGAAAAAAAGGGGGCTTTGGATTGCAAGTAACGTAACATTTCCTTTGTTAAGGCATATTCATTTTCGTTTCAAAGGTTGCAACACTTGTTCCTCACTCTTTTTTTTTTTTTCTTTTTTCATTCCTCGGGGAAAGAGGATATTTTCATAGGATATTCCCTCAGTGTGCCTAAGATCTTTATCTTGTAAAGACTTCTTCATGCCCAGTGTGCTAGGATCTCAAGCTGGCTTGGGCTTGAGGGATGCAACACAACAGTACATGGTGCCACCAACACAGAGTGTCGTTAGCATTCCCAGTCTGAACCTTAGAACTGGGCCTACCTTTCTCCCACTGAGGTTTCTCTGAGACCTTTTAAAAACCAGGTCCACCACTGACTAGCGTTTAACATAAGCTGCATGAACGTGATGCCCATCCTCATCTGATGAAGCAACCAACAGTAGCTAACTTTACATAGCCACTCCAAGCTAGAGAAGTTGGGAGTCATTTTCATCACTTTAATTATAGTGTCATTAATTTAAGTGCAGCTTCTTGAAGATGACATTGACAGTAAGAGTGACAGAATCTGGCCTGCAAAGATCTGTACTAGGGACAACAGCCATTCTTGATGTGACTCCACTAGAGTCCTGTTGGAGAGGAATTCACTGTGTATCAATGACAGAGTTAAGGCTTGTCCCGGAAGTCCTATCTCTACACTATAATCCCTGATGCCTATCCGCTAGTTAGCACTGTAACATCACAAGGCAAAGTCTGCAAACTGTGCACTGATTCACCTCTACCACCCCTCCTACCCCTCTTGCAGCTTGCCATTACGGTTCTGGGTTAACATGATCAAGAACCCACAGTTCGTCTTTGACATCCACAAGAACAGCATCACGGATGCCTGCCTCTCTGTAGTGGCTCAGACCTTCATGGACTCCTGTTCAACCTCAGAGCACCGCCTGGGCAAAGACTCACCCTCCAACAAGCTCCTCTATGCCAAGGACATCCCCAGCTACAAGAACTGGGTGGAAAGGTGAGTCTTGGCTCTGGAAAAAGGAATGCCATAAGCAAGTTGTACAATTAATCCCTTCTTCATTAATGGAGGTAGGATGCATTCTCAGTATTGTTTTTGGTAACTGCTTTTTTTTTTTTTCCCCCTGTGGTAACTGCCTGACTAGAAAGCTCTGTATTAGCCTTTTATTCACTGCCTTAAAGCAGAGATGGAAATTTAGGTAGAGGCGTGAACTGAAGGTGTTTGCTGTCGTTGTTTCTCTTGAGGAGAAACTGTTGAGAAGAGAGAGAGGGAGGAAGGAAAGGGAGGTGACCAAGTCTGAGCTCTGTGAAATACATGGGCTTCTAAGTCCTTCCACACAGATGAGAAGTGGTTCACTGTTCTCAGCACCATCGTAACAGCGCCCATACTGCCTAGATCCCAGGGTTCACACAATTATCATCTCATATTCTGAGTCTGGTAGCTTTCCATGGAAGTTATTCCATTCTTTGAATGAGATACCACAAAACAGATATGCTGTTAAATAATAGCAGATATGCTATTAAAGGTCTCCAGGCACTTTCTGAAAAGGCAGGGGTCTTTCCAGGCATTTTACCCACATCTGCAAGACCTGCAGCTGCAAGGACTGGATGGTTTGATTTTGCTGCCCTGGAAAACCTACTCTAAAGTGCATACAACCAAGACAATTGTTCCTGCAGGATATAAAGTGTTGAGTTTCTCTAAGATTCTCTGGAGGATCAGCAATAGCACATCTTGCACTCCATTCAGTGGGAGCTTATCTGCTGGAGCAAGCCTTGCAGAAGCTGATCTGTAGTTTGTTTTCCAATATGCCACGCTTGCCTGGCATTATTGACAGGTTTGGGAACTGCACAGATGGAGAATGATTGCTGCTCTGTAAATACAAGGATGGGGTTATCTTACAGATCATCCCTGTACAACGACATCCGGTTTTAAACAATGCTTTGTGTGGATGGCTTCGTAAGCACCATCTAAAATTGATACCACACTGATGGTTATATGAGATCTCCGCTACTTCAGCCATACCACAGTGTAAACCAGGACATTTCTTTTGGTGGAGATGATAGTTTTCTCTCATTTTGTGAAAGCAGAGCACAGCTAAAGAAAAAGCTCTGTACTCCAGTCTGCATGAGGTGGGTTTATTTTACAATAAAGCTCCCCTTGGTCTCTGATTTGCCCAGACCATTATTTTTAGATGTGGTTAAACACTTTTGCAAATGTCGTTTCTAGGCAACCTGTAAGGCTCTTATGAGCTACCTTGCTTAATTATGACCTACTTCTGGTACTGTGTCCAAGTTTCTGAATATGCATTGAGGTTGGTTGCTGGATCAATCTGGATAGAGGAAGGAAGGTATAAGAGATTTATTTATAAATTATAAGTTTCAGCTTACAGTAACCCATAGGTGTCACACTCTGGTGACTCTAATAGGCTTATGTGTGGTTGGTTTCTGTAGACAAATACCTTATTTTGCATATGCCTCTAGTTGAGTTTTATCTTTGCAAATGTTACGTTTAGAGGATGGACTGAATTATGTGGGTGGAAAATGGTATATCCTCATGCAACATCTTTCCTCTGGATAAACAGAGAGCTGCAGTCACCAGAATTTTTCCAGTACTGATTTCATTTTAAACCATTTTGGAGCTCAACCCTGTTGGCCCGGTAACCCTCAGCAATAAGTTGCATTTCCCTGGGATTTTCTTGAACAAATAATAGGTTTGAAAAAGAGGTGAATAACACCTTCTGCTTCTGGTTAACAGCACCGAATTTCTGGGGTCAGCATGTGCTGGGTTGTTATCTATACCGATATGTGAAAACTTTAACTGAAACCTAAGGGGAAACTGTGGGTTTTGGAATATAATTAGAACTTCTGCCCTGCTAATTCTTCTGTGAAAGGCAAGGGTTTGGCTCAGGTCTTTGTGGGCTACCTGAAAGGAGAATGGCTGTCAATTCTACTGACTCAAGACACTAGCACCTGGATGCTATGGTAGATCAAAGAAAAAGATATCAAGGATGAATAGAACATAATTTCAGTTCTACCCCAAGCTAATTAATTCATTTTCTCTGTTCTGCAACTGTATTTTGAGGCAGTTACTTCAACTCCAATGGCTTCAAGTATTGGTTGGAGCTATTTCTATAGTCAGTATCAATTGGAGACAACATCACTCAAGACCACTAGATTTCTTCAAAGAGTGAATCCTGAGATAAAAAGATTTTCATCTGGGGAGTTTAAAAAGTGGTTGAGTAAATCAGGAGAACCTGAAATCAAATTAACTTCTTTGATGAAGAAGAATCCATGAGAGGGCAATTAGGCACTGGTAGATTGTAACCCTACTCAAAGACACTCTGGAGTAAGAGGAGGCTCCTTTGTTTTAGTGTATCTGTTGAAATGTAAATGGGGCCGGGCCACTCCAAGCCATCCCTTCACAATTGCTGGTTTCTCAGTGTGGTGTATGCCTTCAGGACTCACAAACTCAAGGCAGGGAATTACCTTGGCACCAGAAGTAGCAGAGAAGGCAGCAGCAGTGGGTGAAATCATGTACCTGCCATCCAAGAAAATTACTTTTCCACTTCTTTGGAGCATGAATGTATGATGGCAAGAGCAAAGATGCAGGTTCTTGCCTTGCCTGACCAATGGTCTACCTCTGTGTACTACTCACCTGGGAATTTCGTTTCAATGGTCCTTTGTTTCAGCCCAGTTGGAAGCAGACCTGGATTCTGCCTATCTGAGCAATCCTGACATTTGGGAAAGCCAAGTTCACAATCCAAATTCCACACCCAGGGCTTTTTCTCTTTGAAAACTCACGGCTAAAAAGTACCTAGCTCATCCCCAGCTTGGGTTTCCTGAGGCAGAGGATGCTCAGATGTGACAGGGGAATTAACCTGGGAAATGGGGACAGAGTACAAGGCTTCTGTAGAAACCATCAAGAGTCAGTCTGTGTTTCTCAAACAAGGCGCATGCTTTTCAGGAGTCAGTACCTGAGCCTATCGCAGCAGGGATCTGATCAGAGCATACTCTTTCTCCCCCTACAGAAAGAGAGGAAAAGAATGGGATTGTCATCTGACTTCTGTTAGTCAAAGTCCACAGGCTTTGCTGAATTCACGTTATAGCATCTTTTCAAGTTTATTTCAAATGTCCTCTTTGAGCCTAGAAGGCTAGAGAACTTGGGAGCATTTGATGCAATCTCCGAACAATGCAAAGGGGAGCCTGTCCTAATTGGGAGTGTCTCATTAGCATTCAACACCACACTGAAAAGACGACAAAGGGTCGTGACTGACCTTTCATTTCTTCCTACGCTGCCAAGCTTATGATAACACTTGTTTGAACTTCATTAACACCGTTTAATTGCTTGTATGGCAATCAATATGATGCTTCCCTATCAAAGTCTGTCATGAAGGCAGGGATGTGGGAGATAGAGAAGGGATGGAGCACAAAAAGCAGAAGCCAAGGAGTGTTTCCATTGCACACTGGTACCCAGAACACCTGCAGTGCAGCGAAGGGAATAAGTGACTTGGTATCCCTTTGGCTGCCAACTGTGCATCAAGGACAATCCCTCAAAGAAAAGCTGAAACTCAACAGAGACATTGAAAATATTCTTGTGCCTCTAAGAATCTTCCAGCAAAGAACTTTCAAAATAGGTTTGTCAGGCCTGGGACTAAAAGAGGTTTAAAGTGAACTGATCTGTGGGTTTCAGAGTTATAACATCTGCAATTTTTTGTTCTTAACCTGATTACAAAAATTATCTGACTTAGCTATTGGGACCCAGAGTCTTGGGTCCCTGATCTTACCTACCTCCCTTTCCTGAAGCAACTATAGTTTGCTTGACATTACCTTTCTGAAGTCAAGGTCTTAAACTTGTCCGAAAATGCTAGGCTAATGTTTCTAGAGTTTGCAGAATAGATCGTGTGTTGCCATTCTGGATCTTATCATCACTTGGTAACCTCTGATTTCAGGACTCTCTGCTCAATAGCTTGTTCGGTCTTTTCTAGTGTCTGTTGGCCGTTCTGTAGCTGGAACAACTTTAGAGAGAAAGAGAGACAAAACAGACTGATTTAATACAATTAAGATTATATACTTCATACATTCTAGTGCTGTAAGTTATTGAGACTTTAAATAGGAACATTGGGGTGGCATTTTAGCTCCATGGGCTTTAAAAGAGAGCATTAAATGGCAGGTGGAAATCTTGGCTCCACTTTAAAAAATGCAATCGTCTTCTGCATTTCCTCTGCCTGCCAGAAAGAGGGCTCAAAATAGAACATACTAAAGGTCAAAGGTGGAAGGTGTTGTCAGTAGAGATAATAAAAAACAGTGCTGGAAGGGACCTCTAGAGGTCAACCCACCCAGCTCCAACCTCAGGGCAGGATCAACTCTGTCTAAAACCTGCCTGACAGATGCTTGTCTACCCTGCTCTTAAAGGCCTCCAATGCCTGAGCCTCCTCCTTGCCTCAGGCGATTTGTTCCTGTGCTTCCCTTTCCTTCCCATCAGACCATTTTCCCTGGTGGCCAGCCTAAGTCTCTGTGGCTGCAATTAAAGCCCAGGCTGTCTCATTGCATCCCCAGGGGCCTTCCCGGCCTCTCTGCCTCAGCTTTGGCATGTCTGGAGACTGTTAGCCTGAGTTTCCTCATTCTTTTCATCTCTAAAAAGCTCCTGTTATTTCCTCATAGCAGTAAAACATCTCTCTTACACAGTGCAGTTTTCGGTAAGCAACATGAATAAAATGTCTTTACTCAAGAGGGTACAGCCTCAAATCCACACAGCCTCTGCACTGAGCCAATGTTGGCTGGTTTCTTCTCCCAGAGAAACTACCTGTGAACATATTCATTCTTCAGTCACTCTCTCAGTGCCTCCCACCCATTCTCTATCATTTATTCTGAGACAGAAGGGAGTAAAAAAATGCAAAAGAAAATCAGTGCCCTAGGGGATACATACACAGAGAGAGGCCTTCCCTAGAGCATTTCTTGGCGAATCTCTTGATTTGAAGATCTGATAGGCCTCGAGCTAACTTTGTAGGTGGGACCTTTTGTTTAGCTGTCATGCTCTTTGTGCCAAAGTCCAGCTACTGTCCAACAGCCTGGCCTTGACCCTTTCTCTAAAACCAGATCAATAAAGTGTAACAGAGTCTTGCGGCTGCCAGTAGCTGAATCAGCCCAGACACAAACTTCTGCAGCTCAGATGCCTCCTGGCAAACTACAACTGCCATATTCTGTCCACAGAAGAACCGGCAGCATGTCCTTGAATTGCTCACTTGTTTCCATAAAAGGAGTGGCTGCTAAGTTGTTCTCAAGCTTTCCTTCAGCCTTTTCTGATCTAGCTGTCCCCCGTATCCCTTTCATACATCTCTTCCTCCTCCAGTGGTCCGGATACAGCCGGCTATTGCATAACCCTAATTATGTTATTGCTGTAATTGCGTCTGCCGTCTGCAGCACATGGATTTGTTACAAGCTTTTCATATGCTAAAATGATTATTAATGAGCGTAGTCCCAACCCAGAGACGGCACAACAACAGCCATGACAAAAAGATCTTTTGGAAGGCAATTAGCTCCATGCTAAGCTGTCTAAACTACGGCAGTGCTGGAAAATTTCAGACTGGAGAGGAAGTACTGGCAACAGGGCTTTTTTCTTCTCCTTTGATGAGTTAATGAGTTACTGAGTGGCAGCAAGTGCATTCATGCTTGTGAAACAGCTCCAGTAAGGAGCATTTTCTGGCTGTTACCTAAGGCAAGAGCATTTTCCCTGCCTCCGGCCTAAACAGAGGGTAAGATATATTCCCAGGTCACTGCTATATTGCTTTCCTTAGAGGAAAAGAAAAAAAAGACTTCACAGGGAAAGAGGAGGATGTGCAAGGAATAAGAACAGCTTTTTCTCAAGGCGAAGAGGGAGCATCCCCGTACCTCAGTGTGTAAGAAATCCTTCCCCATCGAAGCGTGGCAGTGGAGGGTCTCATGGGCTCTCCTGTTCAAGCCAGCCTGGGGTGAGTTGCAGAACTAATGACACCTGTTAAGTCACCTCCTATGATCTAGTCATCCTCACGTTCTCAATCTGAATTGCTCATGTGCCTGAGTGAGGGTCGACGCGGATTCCCCCAAAGTGCTCTAGGGTTTCATTCTTTCTAATGTCTAATGCATGAATCTCCTGCCACATCAGAGAGTGAGCGGCCTTGAGCTACAAATCCATTGTCTCCCGATGGTTCAGGGGAATCTCAGGCCCTTCGGGAAGGATCTTTTGATATGTATCTAAGGATCTCCTGGAAACAGCCAGACAGGGACCAGCTGGAGGAGACTTAAACTAGAACACAGAAGAAGGAGCAAATCTGGAGCATCCAGGTAGTATCATGCATGTCTGACCAAGCGGTCACCCTCTTCTACTTTGGACTCTCAGTCATGAATCCTTGGAGGCAAGCTGAGTAAGATTTGCTGCTTTATTACCTTTCTGTCTCGTTCAGATGGAATATGGCCTAGTTTTTGCATTCCCAATCTCCTAGTGGCTACAACTGCCCCTGGGACTGTGGAAAGGTGAGTCCGTGACTTACTCCTGTCTCAGGTGAGCTGTGAGAGCTCTTCCTCACCCTTACCTTTGGCGCGCACACAGGAGCAGCCTGGTGAGAGCAGTCTTCCCCTGCACTGCCTCACAATTCAGCTTTGGTATAAGTGCAAGTTCTCAGCAGCACATTGACAGCTTTGCCTATGCTGGCAGTGAAAATTCAGGGACACCCAGGGTTTAGTGACTGCTTCTCAGGGCGGGTTCTGAAAACATCAGGGTTATGTAAATGGCAGAGAGGCCCTTAGTACCACTGAGGACCTGGGCTCAAATGAAAGGTAAATAGAGACTCAGTAAGGATATTGATGCCTACTAAGATGTTTTAATATATACATTTATAGTTTCTTAGAAGGTTTCTTAGATGCAATGATGGTTTCATTAGAAACACATCAGAATAAATAATAAGTTGTTATTTATAAGTTGGCAGAGTTTTGTTGGAAGGAGGTTAATAGTCTTCTCCCTGTACTAGCAACCAGGTTTTGTTGTTTGATTATTGGCACATGCTGTGTCCCCCCACGCCAAGTAAATGCTATGTTTTCTTCTTCTCCCTCACCTTCCTCAAGTAAACACTTCCACAACATCTTGGGTTGCAGTCCTAGTGGGAAACAACATCTCAGCTGTGTTATGTGGCTGACCTGAGCCTTGGAGAGACTGGAGGGCTTTGGTGTGGTGACGGGTGGTGGCCCGTGAACCCAGCATACTGAGATCATAGCTTGAGAGTTTGCCATGGCTGGAGAAAAAGCCCTGAAATTCAGCTCAGTGCATCCTCTCCTGCCTTCTAGGGAGCATTGTGTGTTGCTTTTCATTGTTTCACTGTTTAGCTGAGTCATGGAAGTTTCATGATGCTGGAAAAATATCCTTGCAGGGCTAGGAAAGGGAACGGGAGGTTCCTATGCCTCTCCCTGCCTGAGGGTTATATCAAATCCTCCCCCTGCAAAACCAGGGTGGTAACTGAGACCCACTCATTACAATAAATTGGGATGGGACTGGGAGGCACAAAACCAGACTGAGGAAATACTGGAGCTTTCTGATGTGCATGAGTTTCCTTCCGGTGCTCTTTCATTGTGTATTCTTTCACAAGACATTCAGGCAGCTGCTTGTCCCACTCTGTCATAGCAAGTATTTTCCCACTTGTCTCTCTCAAGGATCCTTATCATATAGCACTTCAGTGTCCAATTTTTCTGCTGTGGAAGATAGGCTCCAGCTCAGCAGGTGTCTTGACGCTGTTTACAGGACACCTGTCAGCTCTTTCGTCTCCCCGTCCCCTCTGCCTCCTAATTATAAAATTGTGGATCACTGCAGCAACGGGCTGCTTTTTTTTTTTTTCCTTGTGCACAAAATGTCAAATTGCAGAAATTAAAAATGTAAATGATGGTGTCTAATTAACCAGTTGACAGCAGAGCACAGCTGCGAGTGACAGTGACTGATTACCTTCCACAAACCTTGTCCTCCAAGACCTGCCTTACCCAGGGGACGAAGGACAGCAAAAATAGCAACTTCCTTAAAGAGACATTGCTCTACTGATGAGGCCTGATGCACGGGCAATGGTTATAGGGGGCTCCAGGTCCTATGAATAAAGTTCATGCCCTCTTGAACTGAAGGGGAAGGGCTTTGTTTGCTAAGGGAGGCTGATTTTCCCCAGCCAGAGTGGGGATGAAGGCATTAAAGCTTGTTGCCTTGAACCATGATGTCAGGCTAGCTTAAACTTTGAGGCTGAATCGAGGTGCTGAGAAGCACAGACGACCCTAGGGTAAATTGCTTTGAGTGGGGGAAGGTGGAAGATGTTAGTGATGGATGCAGATGAACAAGAGTGAGTGGCATAGGCAAGCATGCAAAGAGATTTTGGTGCATGGGAGTAAAAAATACGAGCTCTCAGTGGGCAGGGAGATCAGCGTGACCTCTCTGCAGGACTGGAGGCAATGCTCAAAGGCCTTGAAGGCTGATGAAGCAACCCAGCAGCAATAGATATGCCCTGTTTCTTTGATGGAATGGAGAAAGTTTATAGGACGCTCTTTGGAGTTTCAGTCTGAGGATAGGGTTGATTGATTGCAACACACATTTGGTATTCAGGAACTAGTGGTTCTGTTTCTGGCTAGGTCACTTCCTCGCTGTAAAAGAAGAGCATGACCTGGTATTTCATCTATGCACAGGGAGAGCCTGAAAGACACTGCGAAGCGCGTCCCTTCTCTTTGTGCTGTTGCCTTTTAGCCAACGTGATTCCCTACTCTCTCCTCCCCAAGAAATATCTGAAATTCTCTCTCATAGGTACTACTCAGACATCGCCAAAATGCCAGCAATTAGTGACCAGGACATGAACGCTTACTTGGCTGAGCAGTCTCGCATGCACATGAACGAGTTCAACACTATGAGTGCGCTCTCAGAGATATACTCCTACGTTGGCAAGTACAGTGAGGAGGTAAGAGCTTTGGAGCGGGGGAGAGTAGTTCTGCAGAGCCATGGGGCAGCCCACCCATTTCGAGGGCCCAGCATGTGTCACAGTTCCCTGCCTTCATCCTGGCTAGGGGTCTGATGGATTTAAGGAGTGGAAGACAGGGTGGGTACCTGAAAGAGGTGCCCTGGGATGATTGGGTCCCCTCAATACTCTTGCATCTGGTTCCTTGCTATGCTTGCCTCCTACAGTTGGTTCATCAGATGTAGCTGGTTTGCAGTAGTTAATGGTCAGATGTTAGCTTGCTCTGGGGAAGCCCTATGTGATCTCTGCATCACATGCGATCAAAGGCAAATATAAGGACCAACTTTGCTTTAAATGCAATGTACAGAGACAAACAAGCTGGTTGCAATTCTATGAAGGTCCAGCAGCCACTGGAGGATGTTGCCCCAGGAGGAGAAGCTTGGGAGAAGTTTGTCTTTTGAGCTCATAAAGTCAATCAGAAAATCACACTTGCTAATTAGGAGAAGTCATGACTGGCTAAGATATTCCACCTCATATTCGTTGATACACTCCACCAGTAAGGATTTCTAGGGAAAATCAACCGATTTGTTCACGATTTAGATACAGATACAGACAAAAAGGAGGGTGTGGACAGCAATCCTTCTTTGTTCAGCATTTCTGTGCAAGTTTGGTGTTTGTCTAACAGCAATAGCTAGTGGAGCCACATCTCTGCAAACTTTCTGCACCAGTGGTCTGCCAACCCCCCTCCTACCCCAATTTCTAAAGCAGAGCTACCACCCTGCCTGGCAGGAGCAACCTGAGGCACAGCCTGATCCTTCAGGGACAAAAAAACATTCTGCCATTGCATCCCAGATTTTGGCAGCTGAACCCCATTTCTCTGTTTTCCTGCTATTCCTCAGGCAGCTCCATTCTGTTTTGCAAAAACATTGCTGTCCAGAAATAAAGACTAGGATCCATTTAACTTCAGTTCAGTCAATTTATAGGCACGTGGTTTACCATTATTACCTATATTTCCTCTGTAAGTAGTGGAAAAAGCTGTCTCTAGAGAGTGGTTCATCCAGGCTATCTTGGACATTTTTCTTAGATGGTTTGGGTCAATTTCTGGAAATGCTCATCTTTCTCTATGGACTAAAAGGGAAGGCTAGAAACCTCACGTAGGCTACAGGTAGATTCACCTCATCTAACTTAAATATCTAGAATGAAGATATTTGCATCTTAGCCTGAGTCTAGGTTCCCATTACACACAATGTAGAACTGGAACAGGATTCAGTTATTTAAATATATGTGCACAGTGCACATATCAATCACTTCCAATGTAGAGATCTGTATTTAGTCAAATCACCCCTAAACTGCCTTGCCAGTTCTCTGCCGACCGACTTGCTTTGCATGATGTAAGGCAACCCTAGGGCCCACCTCAGGGAAAGCTGACCCTCATCTGCTGCTGCAGGATATTGGGTTCGGTCCTTCTAAGCAGAAAAAAAAAAAAAAAAAAGCCTCATCATTGCTTTCTCTCTCCTTTTGCAGATTCTCGGAGCTCTTGATCAAGATGACCAGGCTGGGAAACAGAAACTTGCCTACAAACTTGAACAAGTCATAACCCTCATGAGCATAGACAGCTGAGAACTGTCCTGCCAGGGACACCCTGGGAGGGATAAACCAAGTCGTGCCTCACTCAAGATCATCATCTTTACCAAGTGCAAGTTTTGATTGGCTGGAAGCAGTCACTGAACAGCTCTCGCTCTTCTCTTTCTCTCTCTCTCATTTCTTTCTCTTTCAAAAATCTATGGACAAAGCGACAAAGCCCCGGGGGTGAAAAGGAAAAGACTGCAGAGGAATCTTGGCTTTGGGGACATCAAGACATTCAGGTGAAGCTCTTCTTTTTACAGCTTCCCCTCTGCCCTTGATCTGAAGAAAAACTATTAAAACAAACAAAAACCTTCCCCAACATTGTATCATCAGTCTGCAGATAGGAAATTGGGAGGTCACCTCTGTCATGCTGCTTTAACTGTCCTCCTAGAGCTGTAGCCTGTGGAGTGGACACGGATATGAACTCAGTATTATTAAAATTCCCACTGAGGGGAATGCAGCCTGCCTGCAGGGATCCTGGATGGTAGGAGCGAACCGAGATCCTCTCCAGCGGAGCCATTGCAACTCTATCTCTTGGTAGCAACTCACTGGGAGAGGAATTCAAGCCTCCCCAAAAAACACCACAGCTCAGTTCAGAGTGGGACCATTGTGGCTCTTTTCTGCCTGGGCAAACAGCAACGTAGAGCTGCTCTCTTGGGGCAGGGGAAGGGTCAAGAGGGGAGGAGGAGACCGACGCTCCCCTGCCCACATATTTCATATGGTTATTCTTATTTTTCAAAGCAACCTGTGTCCCCCCTTCCATCTTTCCCATTGTGTCCTGTTGGTTGTAGCGCTGCAAAAAAAATTCTCTTTCTGCTCAGTGGCATCCTGTTGGTGGTGATTCTGTTCCTTCTGGCAACGGACAGTGCAGCGTCTCCCTCATCTCCACCGCAGCTTGGAAAGCAAAAGACACGAGTCTCAAATTGTTCCAGATGAGGTGCTTGGCCTCAAAAACCAACCAGAGGGATTTTTTTTTAAGTTGTTTGTTCTTTCCATTTTGTTTCCTGAACTGGAATAATACTAGTGTTTTTTCGTGGTGGAATATCAGAAGCATAGTGAAGGGCTTGTTATGAAGCAAAGTGATGTATAGGACTGATTGCAGAAGCTTCCTCCAAAGCCACTGCTGAAAGGAAAAGTCAGACATTTTGGAAGGAAATCTGGGAGGAAACACAAATGAAACACTACAAAACATCCCTCTATTCAGATACTCCCAATTGAACCACGTGTTTTCCCGAGGTCCCTGAACCACTATCCCCTTGTCTACCTTCTGGTGCCAACTTCTGGACCTTCCCCTTATCCATTTCTGGAACCAACAGGCCCTGCTGAAGGCGCAGCAGGTGCCTGGGAAGGATTTGCCCTCTCTTTGCACTTCAGAGATCGCTGTTGTCACAAAACAGAGGTGGGTGATTACCTCTTCTTTCCTCTGCTCAACTCCTCCAGAGCAACTCCACCTCAAGCAATCTGCATCATAGCTAACTGAATAGGAGTGAGCTCCCGCCTCTGTTCTGCATTCGATTGTTTTTTCATCCAGTTGCCAACGTGGATGTCAGTGTGGTTCAGTGTCATGGAAGTAGCAGCCTTGCACCTAGTACAACACTGAGGCAAGAGCCAGGTGTGCTTTCATCTCACCAGAAATGAACAGTGCTCACTAGCAGATGCAGGAATGGATTGATGCTGTGAAGAATCATCCTTCGTCTGTCTTGCGCCGTCCTCGGGGGGACAGCCAGGATCTGCTTTGCAGCTGGAGGAAGGAGGGGTATAGATAGGGTGTGTAAATTGATTATGGAGTGAGTGTTTTGGTTTTACTCATGCATCTTGCTAGCAAACCCGAACCGCTGCACAGCAGCTGATCGCTAGTGGATGTGATGGGGCACGTGGTGCAAACAGGAGTCGGTTAGGAAGTGGATTTCATTCAGCCAAGCACATAAACATGTAGGCAGGTCTTTGTAAAACCACTTAACGAAAAACAGTCCAAAATTGGGTGTTGGCAGGGGAGAATATCACAAGATTCATATTGAAACAGCAAATTAGGGACACGTCTTGGTTTTAAAACCCCAGACATTTCTCTCTCGATTATAATTATTATTATTTTGTGTGTGCGTGTGCGTGTGTGTGCATATCTGTGTGCGTGTGTGTCATTTTCTTTTTAATTTTGCTTGCTTTCTGTTTGATTGCTGAGCTATGGACTTATCTTGCACCTTATGGACATCTCAGCATTTTTGAGAGGCCTGTGCACTGGGGCTGATTTGGGTTCGGTTGGTTCTGCCACGGTTTTGTTGATCCATTTAGTAGTGTTGGCGCATGTTCCAGATCCATTGATTATGGCTGTGAAAGTGGGGTGGAAGTCCCACCAGAGCCAGCGATAAGAAAATTACAACAACAACACAAACACAATATTTTTATAAGTACATAAAAGGAAAATAAAAAAAAAAAAAGGAAGAAACCAAAGGTTTTGACAAACAAAGTGCCACAAATGATAAACATAGACCCTATCGTCATGCCTTGTACACACAGCTGGATGGTAGGAGTCTAAGGGCAAATAGCTGGCTTGGAGGGAAGTGGTTATGAGTGATGGGCTACACTGCCTGGACATGTGCACATGAAAGGAGGAAGAAATTATTTAAAAAAAAAAAAAAGGTATCAAAGTGAACTGATGTAATCCTACACTGTTACAGAAGTCAGAGGAACACCATAGAGGAAATCTGAGACTCATCCTGCTTACTTTTAATGTTTTCAGGGCTGTTTTTTTTATGATGATGATGATGATGATTGTTTTCCATTGTTATTTTATTTCTTTTTGCTGGTACGGAGTTTTTCAACTGTAAAATATATATATATATATGTATTTCAAGAAAAACTTGAACACCTCAGAGACACTGAGAATGAAACACTTACGGGAAATGGGAAGCACCATGAGATGGTTATCTTATCCCTTCCCAAATTCCCATTTACGCATTTCCTTTTTCTCCCTGCCTTCTTCTCTCCCCTGTTCCTGGGATTTGAAAGAAAATCTGTATTTTGATTCTCTTTCTTCTCTCTCTCTCTCTTTCTTTTTTTTTTTTTAATGTGTTTGGGCTGGTTTTGCTTTTTGCTTGGAAAACGTGCCAGAATTGTGATGTAAATACGTAGGCTTCCTGCCCTGTCTCCTTTCGTGCCCTCCCTATTCCAGTCATTGTCCCAGCCCCGGCAGTCTATGAGAGGTCTTGGCATCTTTCTTCTCAGCCTAACCTGTTGAGCTAATTATTTTTGTAAGTGCATGTAAAACACGATTAAAAACAAAGACACAAGTAGGAGAAGAATAAGCCCTGCTATGACATGGATGAATTTTCTCCCTTTCTTTGCCTTGTTTCCCCTCTCTTTTCCACACTTGACTGGAAGTGCTCAATGTAACTGGTATTTCACATCATTTTTCAAACTACGCAGAGAGAACTGGAGCCAAAGTCCCTAGAAGTTAGCGGACAAACTCCTAACACCCGTAATATGCCAGATAATATGCTGATCTTTATGAGTACTGGGTATTTCTTAAAAATTGCAGTCAAGATAATGAAAGCTGACACTCGCAGCACCATCAGGAACGGGGAAAGGAAACTCTTCAAAACTGCACATGGTCCAATTGAGAGGGCTAGAATTATTTCTTCACTGCAGAGTTTGCTCTGGGAATTTGCGACTGGGTTAGAGGAACAAAAGGCAGACAGCCACTCTGCAAGCATGCGGTGTCCTTCCTGTGAGTATATTCACCCATCAATGTCAAAATGAGATCTGATGCATAATCCATCATTGCACCTGCTGTCACAGACCGAGCCTTCCAGTAAAAGGAGTTGTGGGAAAAGCTGGATTTTTGTCTTCAGGAAGGTGCTAGAAATTCTTAGCGCTTGAACAGATAGCACACACGAACTAGGGAACAGGAGAAATGCATCACCTAAGGGCACCCTCCTTTCCCAACATGCCTCATCCTTCTCTTCTCCCTCCTAGGCCTGCCCTGAACATATTTGAAGGTTTGATCCAGTCTACCATACACCAGCCTAGCTCAGCTGGCTTAACAGGGCTATGCCAATTTTCACCAGCTGTCGTTTCACTACTGCAGTTGTCTTATATCACTCCTGCATGGGAGCCCATTAAAAAAATGTTATAACCTAAAGAAGATTTACCAGCAGACTTTTGATGGATATTTGTTTTAATTGAAAGGCCTTTATCAAAATTGTCAGAGCTTATGTACAGGCACCAAAGTTGGCAGATCTTATGCACAGGCACACAAGGAAGTTAATACCATGGGGGGAAAGAGACCAGGCAAATCACACTGTTGTTATTATTATTTCTAATAATGTTATTGACCACTGATAGATCGTGTTTTAAAAATCCAGTGGCCACTCTCACTGTGCAGTCAATCAACATAAAGATTACAGAGCAACTCAAGCACTGAACAGCTAGCATCAAGGATAAAAAGGCTCAAGCCAAACCACAAAATGTACTTCTGCCCTTTGGCTTTAGTGAAGGGCTATGAAAAGAGACATCACTGTGTGCAAGACTCTTCCAAAGGAAGTCTGGAAACCTGAAAAGACTGAGTCCCGTGGCTCCTCTCAGTGGGGCATACAAAACCCCATGAAGCAGCTTCAAGCCCAGGGGACATCTCCCATCAAAAGAAAAGGCTGGGCTGCTTGAGATGACCTGGACTCCTCTCCTACATTGCCAAGGCATCAACAAGACAAGTCATGTTTCACCCTTCCCAGCAGCATGTAGGAGAATAACTCATTGAAGCAGCTGCCTCTCACAGCCTGCAGAGCTTCCTTGGTGCTGTAAAAGGAATGAGAGAGGAAGAAAACTCGTCCTATTTCTTAAACTCCTATAGTAGGCTCTAGAGTGCAAGAGGTAAGGTCCTCCACAGAATTCTGATGCTTTCTGTGTGAGCAGTGTCCACAGATGGTGAGGGAAGGTGCCATTTCCAGATAACCCGTCTGGAACCCTGCCAGTCTGAACAAGGCATTTTTGGTCCCTTTCTTCTCCTTGGTTCGGCATATGACTGAAGGAGTCAGAGATAGGGCACTGGATAGAAATGTACGTGTGGGTCCCACCAAGTTTCTGTTGGTTTGGGGTGCAAACCAACTAAGAATTGCACCCAGGGGACCCAGTTTGTATAACCCCCAGCCATTGGATAAGCAAATCAGTACAAAAATCCAGATTTCAAACGAGTGCTGTCCTCTGAACTCCTCTGGGCCTCTGGCAGTTCCCTCTCCTGGGATAACCAGGGGAGCGCAGGAAATGGAGCTCCTGCTCCAAGCTAGGCAGCTATGATCACTTATACAGTAGATTGTTTTCCGATGTTGGCAGAGCCCTCACCCTGACGGCTGTTGGATAGAAAAGAACTGGCATAGCCTTGGTGATGCTAGTACAATTTGCTCCGTGCATTTCATGAGCAGTAGGAGATTTGTCCTCTGGGGCAGGTGGAGTTCTGGGGCTGTCCTTGTGGTCCTAGTGTGGTGTGCTGTGAGTCAGGCCTTTTCCTAAAATTGGTGAAGTGAGTGAGCCTCCATGTCATGGTGCGAAACTCAGCGGTTCTCAGCCTCAGTTTCTCCTCTTTGCGCCCAGCACCGTCTCCATATCTGAATGATGTTGGGTCCTTGCAGCCTTGCAGTTTTCCCCCACCTCTGCCACTGCGCAATGTTCTTTCGCCTTGGAAAGTTGTGTTCTGTCTTATAGGGGATAACCACTGTGCAGAGGATGTTTTGAAACTGGAGCTGGCCAGCCGTGGGACAGCTCATTTCTCTGCAGTGTTAGAGAAGCATTCATGGGGGGCACAAGCTTACAGCAAGGAACGAATTTGCAGAAGGATGTCAAAAAAAAAAAAAAAAAAGCATCTGTGGAAAAAATGAAAGCACCAAAAAAAAAATACCCACCCTGGAGAGGACATAAAGCTGCTTAGTCTAATCAACCGGTCACGTGTGTGTTTTCTGTTGTTGTCGTTGCTGGTGTTTGTTTATTGGCTTTTTTTTCTTTGTTTTTGTTAATCTTCTGTTCTAAAAATGGAGAGTTTACCTCAATAATTTTTTTCTGCTGGGAAACAGATCACCTCAAAGACATTCGCAGCAGAGAGCAGTGTACCGGGAAGCTCAGTAATGGGAACCTAGGTGTAGAAAACAGGGGGAAAACACAGAAGATTTTGTTTCTTTCAGCATTCCCTTCTCTTGACAGTGTAGCGTGGTGTGGCTCCTTGACTCCGAGGGCAGAACTGCCCAGCAGGAGAGGTTGCTCTTCACTTTCAGCTAGCTGGAGAAATCAAGGCACGTGTCTGAGCTTACAATCCTTTCTGAAAGCCACTTTTTTTCCCAGCTGTCTCCACTGCCTTAGGCCACCTGAGACACCATGGCCCAGTCTGTTTCTAGATGGTCGGGGCAATGTCCAAATGGATTAAGGGAATACCTTAGAGAAACTTGGTGTTACTTAAAATTTCTTCACTGTTCTTTTTCCAGTCCCTGGAGCAAACCCACTTTCCAGCCCAGAGTGGTCTGCGGAAACAAAGATTAGGTGCTAGCTAAACGGTCCCAGCGTTTTCCCCAAGAAATCAACACAAGAGACAACTGGATTGTTTAAAGCCACAAGACAGGCCCTTCCTAGTGTCTGACCCTGTGTCTTGGGCATACACATGAGCCCAGAAGTCTCATTCTCTGTTTTGCTAAAGCTTCCACCTTACATACGAAATCAATGTAAAGACATATCCTTCACTACAGTGTTACTAACAGCCTCAAAGAGATGTCAAGACAGCGTTAGAAAGGAGATTGGGATCCTTTTCTTTTAGGTTGTTGTTGTTGTTGGTTTGATTTTCTTTTGAATTGATCCTAGTTAAAAAATAAATAAATAAAATCTATACTATTTAAATTGGAATCCCGTTGTTACTTGGTAAAGGCAAAGCTTCTGTACCTTTGTTATAATTAATTGTATACCTGTGTATGTAAATATAAGGCATTCCTATTTTGCAGTCCAGAACAAAAAAGAAAAAAAAAACCTATTTGTAATATAGAATAAAGTTTATTAAAAAAATAAAGAAATAAAGAAAAGAGGCTGTGATTGCTGCTTCCTGTGGCTGAATGGAGCCAGAGTGAGGGAGCTGGAGCAAAGGGAAGAGGGGACCTCTTGGTGGCGGTACTGACTGGAGAACAGGCAAGTGCTTAAAGCAAGACCGCTTCACCAAGCCCTCTCCCAAGTTCAGGCTCTCCCATCGCCCACAGTAGATGCTCAAAAGCTTCCTTAGCACTTTCTCCCTCCATTTCTTCATTCATTTTTTTCTTCCTTCCTTTCTTTCTATCTTTTTTCTTTGCTTCCTTCTTTCTTTCTCTCCTTCTTCCTCCCTCCCTTTCTTCCTCTCTCCCTCCCTTCCTTCCTTTCTTCCTTCCTGCCTTCTCTTTCTCCTCTTCTCTCATTGTCTCCTTTCTACTTT